TATTTTATGTAAATGGGCGTTAGGTGGTAATGGGTCGCGACGAACAAAAATATAATATATTGCCGTCGGAAAGGGCGTTGGACGGGCACGAATCGCGACGAACGAGAATGTTAAATTTTGTTGTTCCGCTTAGGCGTTAATTAGGTAGGGATGGGCGGATATTGGGATTAATTGTTCGGATTTTATGTTAAAATAAATTCTATTATATGTATATTTCTATGATTTGATAAAAATATAATATATTGATCGATTTTTTGAGATCGATGGAAATATAATATACGATATTGAAATATAATATATTATATATATTTTTTAAATAAATTAATGTATAATAGATTATATTAAGAAGCAATATTTGTTTAAATGTAAATTGATTATATTTTTATTTGATATTATATGAATAATTGATTTTAAAAAATATATATATATATATTTAATTGATAAATTTTAGTTTATTTGAATATTACTATTTAAATTTGATTTTTTTATGTAATTTATATTTTGGAAGATTTTGATAATTAATTTATTTTAAATTATATTGTAAATAAGTTTAAAGGCATATATTTGTTTAAATGGATTTGTAGTTATAAAAATAGATATTATTTGACATTTGGTTGGAATCGATCGCTATTGGAAGGCTAGGAGTCATTCTTTCTTGTTTTTTCGGTGGCTCCTTGGTGCTTTATAGGCTGTTTAATTGGTCTTTTCTTGCCTCCTTGGGTTTAATAGGGGATTCTAATAATCCGCCAAGGCCATGTGATTCGATATTTGCATGTTATTCGAGGTTCGGGATTTGAGATTTAAGATTTGAAATTTAATATGCGAAAGTTGATATTTAAGATGCGCGATCCGAGATTTATGGTCCGAGGTTCGGGATTTGAGAAGCGAAATATGAGCTTCGAGGATTGAGATTGGCGGTTTATGTTTGAAGATGAATATCTGGACGATTCTTGATATTGAATTAATGATGGAAAATTCAAAATATTGTTTTATATCTATGATATTGAGAAATATATTATTTGATATTTAATGAAAAATATATCGGATAAATATTTTAATCTTTTTTAATAATAATCGATTAATTATTTAGAAACATAAAAACCGTAATAATGAAATTAAAATATGCGATTATTTCTAAAAACAAATTTTTGTATATAAAATCTATTTTTTCTATATTTTATGTAAAAGTCTGAATTATTTTGGGTTTTTATATTTTATTTTATTAATTTAATAATTAATTTAATTATCGTATTAATTATTATATTATATATTATTAATATAAAGGATTTATTAATATAGATTTTATATTAATAGATTAATATATATTAATTGATATTTGATATTTCTCAAAGGTCCAAGAAGATATTATAAAAAATAAAAGATTGTATGGATGAAATATAATTTAGTAGTGTTCGATTATGTTTTGAAAATTTATAATTTAAAAAATAAATATAATATTATAATGAGGTAATCTTGATATTAATTGCATAGATCCTCGCGCGCGACCATATTATGACTTTGGTCGCCATCATTTGCAGGCTTCTGCAGAAAATGCTGGACGACATTATTGGTCGGATAATGCCAAATTGATGCAAAATTCTACTTATAATTATTTTTCTGATGCTAATATATTATAGGGCAATAGAATAAGGTAGCTGCGTGCTTAGCATGCCTTGGACATCGAATATATCTTGGAAATAGAAGAGGAGAAAAAAAAACCTGCATAATATGATGAAGATGACCCGTGAATTATAGCATCCACAGAAATGAGTCGTGAGATCCATGAAATCCTCGAGAATAAGGGACGCATAATATTACAATAGATATCCAATAGTGGAGAGATTTGGTCTGCAGCAAGCCGTGGAGGATGGCAATTCTTTAAGGCACGATGCACCTATTCCCTCGGCAAGGGTTTTTAATGAAAGTCCTGTTGTACCGCACCTCCGAATTATTCGTTGATGTAAAGACGGGACGGTGGAGAATTTTCTTTGAATTTATACAATTATCTCCCATCGTAGCGATAATCGACGGCTGCCCAAAAATAATTGCAATATTCCAGCAACAAACCGCGCTCCTGGACTTGGATGGATTGCTAGTGCGCCACCCTCCGTAGATTTTGTTGATACTCTCACCATCCTTGCAAAAATTATTTCTAAAGATTGCTGCGCAGGTCGGAACACGAAATATTTATTGAATATATACATATATATTTATTATTTAATTGCAATAAAAACAATCGTGTGGACCACTTCAATGCCTCTTCCAACCATGCGGCCTATAAATTCCGCAGATACACAAAAGAAATACGGGCATCATGTATTTTGTTCATATAATATATATATATATATTCTAATTATTATGTCGGCCTTTGTCCCGCTATTACCTTTGCCGTGTTTTTTTTGCAACTTGTGAATATTCTATTCTTTTCCTCCGTAATCCTCCGTTGTCGGAAATTGCGGATCAATTAAAAAGAGAGTCAATTATATTTTATATTATAGAATTTTTTTTGCGCGTCGTATAAATCCGATAAATATATTAAAGTAATAACGTAAGTCATATTTGTTTCGAATATCGGAAAATTCGTAAATTAAAGCCATTTAAATGAATAAGAAGAAAAAGAAGAAGAAGAAGAAGAATCGTAGGAAAAAAAATATTTATGACATTTATGACATGTAGCGGTATAATATAACCAAGAATTTAAATATTATTATTTTCATATTCAATAATTAAATTTATTATTTTCTAAGAAATATAAATATTTTATATTTCAAAATTCAACCTAAATTATATATTATAATGATGCTAAAATATATAAAAAAAAAAAAAAAAAAAATTAATTCAATTTTACATTATCGTTAATATATAACATTGTTATATATCTGTATTATTTGGCAGCATTCGTCAGCATTGCCATCCGATAGAAAGGAGGGGATGCAAGCCAATCTATAAAATTTTATGACCTTGAATTTAGTTGATTTCGATAATATCTATGGATTCTCGGATTTGGAATTTCAATTCTAATATTAGGGAAGCTCGTATAGGGATGTCACCAGATATCTCCAATTAACATCCAAATTTATTATTCCGTAAGCACCTGTCACGCAAAATGCCACACTTACATACGAGTGGTTATATTATTGTAATTGTGGGAATATGGTTGTGGTTTGGGTATTTGTATTTCTACGTTGTGGTGATTCAATATTATAATTTTAAACTAGGAACGAATAGATATCAATTTTGCAATGAAAGAATTAATATCGATTATAATATATCTTACAACCGGAATTTTAAAAAAATATATAACATAATTAAATATTTAACATTTACGATAGGTCAATACAATATCATAGAATTAATAAAAATAAACCCACGAAATTTAAAAACCATATATATATATATAATTGTATCGATAATAAAAATATATATACAAAATTATATTTATATAATTTTAGATATAATAATAAATAGCCAAATATAAATTATAAATATATAATTTTATATACGATTAAAAGAATTAAATTATATATATAATTAAATATAAATATAGTTCCAAATAAACAATCCCAACCCGAAAATATATAGTTAATTATCAATATATAATTATTTATATATTTTTACGCAACGACAAACACATAACTACAAATACGCAATCGCAAACACAACTACAAACCCATATACATGCCGCAACCAAAAATAAATTCCTATTCCCAACAAAAAATTTCCTAAAATTCCGAATAAATCGATAAAATATCCTTCACAATTCCGCTACCATACGAAAATTCTTTTAATCATTACAAAAGATATACAACGATACAAACGATTTATATATATCATCCTAATATACTTTAAGAAGAAAGAAATACGAAAACTAAACCAACGAAAAAAGAATAAAATAAAAAAACAAAAAAACAATCCATCGGAAACGACCTTTCGTAAATATAATTCTATATATAATCTAAATATTCAATCATATATTTTTAAAATCTTCAAAAAATTCTATTTTAAAAAACAAAATATTCCATTCCTCAAATCATCGAAAAATATAAAATCGAAATTATTTCAATCTAATCTATGCTAAAATAAATTAAAATTCGCAAAAATGTTCCCCCCCAAAAAAAATTAATGGGCTTCACAAAATAAATTCTAAATATATATGTCCTCGAAAAATAGCTTTCGTAATTAAAATTTCATAATTACCCCTTCTAAATAATCAAATATTTTCGCTTATCCTAAAATTATAAAAAGATTCATTAAAATAATTTCCATTAAATAATTAAATTTAAAAAAATCGATATTAATAAATCAATTCCCCAAAAAACGAAAAAAATTATATTAAATATTTCAATATTAAAATAAAAAAATATATAAATTTAAAATAAATTACAAATTATTAAACTCGCAAAATATATTCTAAAAAATTCCTTAGGAAATTATTTTTCGTAAATAATTCAAAATATTCTTTCTTTATAAAATCAAAAGTAATATCCAAATAACAATAATTTCAAAAAAAAATATATATATTAATAATCAATAAAGCATATTAATTCCAAAATAATTTTTTTCATAAAATAGAAATTTATAGAAATTTAATTAAATTTATTTCATTATAATTCAATTCAATTATTGTAATTATAAAATTTAAACCCCCGTAATAATAGATTAATTAAAATAGTCGATTCCATCGATAATATGTTTTGCGTAAAATAATTGTTATTTGATATCCATATCGATATATAATTTGATTCAACCTCCAATATGTCGATCTTTTTGGGTATGAATTTCTGCGCGAGAAGTGAGCGTTTAACGCCACATTCGATCGTACGTAAAATTCAATACGAGCTCCATATGAATCAAACGCCTATCGATCGCCTAGAGCACAACTCCCAACGTTCCACATCAACTCTTCGAGGCCATGCCCTGCAAGGACGCTACGTTCGGGGCTCCTGCCATTGCTACTAGCGAGCGGACGCTACGAACGTAGCTCCTCGTCCGAATTCATTTCAAGGCATAAAAAAAGCGTAGACGGCAAAACCCATCCCGTCCAACGCTTGGCGCTCCCAGCGGCAACCCTCACCCAGTGGCTTTCGAGTGTGCGGATGTACGGGCGCCTCGCGGGAGAATTGCCAGGATTGCCCCCGGCGGCTCACTCTGATCATCCCTTTGCCCCAATTCTCCGGTCGGCCGTTGCGGAACTGCTCCCTTGGATGCGGTGGAGCGGGGGCGATTTGAACACGATGCAAGGTAAGGTAACCCAAGCATAAGTGAGGGAGGCGCTAGTAGTATGCAATGGCATACAAAATGTGAATCTTAAAAAGTGCACGCCACACAGAAACAGACACGGGATTGCGCGTCACTGACTGGCTGTACCACGCTTTGCGAAGACTTGATTGAAATTTAATACTGAACATGGCCAGGCTCTTCCGCAGGCCAAACTCTTCAGCTGCTGCATCAGAGAGCTCCGAAGAGGCAGCGCCATATTTGTCAACCCAGGACTTGGTGGGGCGCGAGAGGTGACGCACTAAAACTTGGCACCAATTTCCACTTTGTTATCGTCTAAAACAATGGGCTGGGATCCTTTTAGAACAGCTCCGTTTTGCAATTGAGCCTTGCACTAATTAGGAAGCATGAATAAAGCACACGGTTCATGAAAAGGATGACTATAAAACACATCACTTGTCACCCTGTGTAGGGACAAGACAAAACCAACCAGACACAAAAAGATTGTAAATCAAGCAACCGGGTAGTAGATGTTCGATATGGCACACCCTATAACAGCACCTTCTTCGTGTTTCTTCCGAACCTCGCGGAGCCAATGACAGCACCAACCTTAGCTGGAAATTGTCTTCTCCGCAGCAAGCTCCCGATACCAACTGGCGGAATGCGCCAAAAGAAACTGTTGAATCAAGCCCAGCGTCAGGGGTGCCTCGATTCGGCTTCCGGTGTAAAGCTGCCTTTGCGCGATTCCACGTCCGAGTGCCACATGGGCTCGCGCTCGGAGTTGGCGGCCGGCACAGGCTTGTAGTCCCTGCCACATTCGTAGGGGGGGTGGATCCACTCACCGTTGTTGGCAGCAAAGCCAAAGACTGGCGTGTCGCCAAACCAGACTGTCGCTGATCCTTAGGCTCACAATCAAGCCCAGGCTAGGTCAGTGGAAGCTTGATCCCAGAATTGAAAAATAAGTAGATCGCAAAGCAAGTTGCTTATTTACAGACTTGTTTGCTTGGTTGCTTGCTAGCCCACCTTCTCCCTCCCTCCCTCCCTCCCTCCCTCCCAGCTCAAATGAAAAAGGCACCTCCGTCGGTCTCCTCCAACACCTCCATGACTTCGTCATAGGCCTCGCCGCCGGGCACGGAGGCGCCGGTGGCCATGAAGAATTTTCTCATGTGTTGGAAGCAATCGAAGTTCTCGTAATATGTGAAGATCAGCCCGGTCCCAGCTAGTTCATCAACCTCTTTGGCCAGTTCTGCGTCTTCCTGGAGTTCCTCGCTGCACAACTTGAGCAACCACGAAGCCTTCGTGCGCTGCACTGCTTCCAGGAGGAAACTCCTGTCGTTCTTCAGCGGTTCTGGGGCGGACACCAGATCGGTGCCATTGACCACCACTCGCTCGAGCCAGGCGGCGCGGACTTCCACCTCGATATTGAAACCCAGTTTCAGTTTTGCATGGTGATAGCGATGTTATGATGAACGCATGTGAATGCCCACAGAGCAGATTTAACAAAAATCCCAGCAAGCCCAGCCAGCGAACCCAAACAAGAACAGCAAGCGCAAGAGCATTCAAATGAGATCAACATAAGAGAACGCATGTAAGAGCACATCATAGAGCATGAGATGTCCCAAAGCTACCATGACGATTAGTCTAGCGCACGTCCTTAAAATCATGCTCCAAATGTCTCCATGCTTCTCAAAACAAAATTGATCTAAGGAATCGTGTTTTTGCTACGTGTCTCCAAGAAGAATTTCACAGCTGTCAACCATGTTTGAGCGTAACTTTTTCCACAAAACGTCAACACTTCTCCACAACCTTACTAGTAACCTGGCCGCCTTTGCTCTTTCCCGGGGCTCCTTTGTTTGCTTTGGCCCTGCTCTACCAACTTTTCTTGCGCACTTCGCGCCATACAGTTACAGTCTATATGCATACCTTCCAAAATCCTGTCGCAAGACTCTAGCAGCAATGAAAGCCACTAAAAGTTGTTAAGACTCAGGGTTCCCCCGACTCTAAGCAATCTCAAAATCTTGAACAGGCCTAACAAACATTTTGATTTCTGGTTGCGCAGCCACTTGCAGCCACTTGGCAACTTGCCACTTGCAGGCACTTGTTCAGGCAGCCACTTGCAGCCACTTGGCCACTTGCAGCCACTTGGCAGCCACTTGCTGGCCACTTGCAGCCACTTGGCAGCCACTTGCAACCCACAAGCTGGAGACTACTCGGAGTTCTTCGTGGAACCAGTGTGGAGAATATTGAGGTTTCTCTATCGGGAGCTCTGCATCCTAGGGTCTCTTTGCGGCAATTCCTTTCCCTGATCGAGGATGGCTGTTGCCACAACCATTGTGAGCATGGTCTTGGGGGAGTGTCCCCATCAGAATGGCCCCGGGGCTCAAGGCCATTCTGGAGAAGAGTTACGTCCAAGTGGGTGGTGAAATGGTAAGAACCATGGTTATATCACGCGCAATCCACATAGAACTCAGTACGTGGGCATTGATACCTGAGAAAGGGCAATATTCGGGTACATAGCCATTTGAAGCTACATATGCATGTCGGAAAGTTTGCCGCGTGACAGGACGCCAGAAGAGAACGTCCAAAACCATATGTTTCTATGTCGACAGGTCTCTGCAGCGTCTCGCTGCCATGGGGCTTCTGAGAGAGGGGGAAACATGGGTATATATTTGGAAGATCCATCACCCTGCGTGCGCCAGTTCCAACGAAGTTTTGCTCGCTGAGGTGAATACGCTTTAAATCGTTGCTTTGTTTGCGCTTTGATTTCTTGAGGAGGCAGGGCTCTGCGGGGATGGGTGGATTGTTTTGGATACCCTCCTGATGGCTGGGCGGTCCAGCAACACC